CTTCCCCTGGCTCAGCGCTGAACTTACACTCCAGGTATTCCGTCTTCGTCCTGCTCAGCTTGAAACCCTTAGACTCAAGAGCCTGTCTCCAAACCTCCAGCCTCTCGTTAACACCGGCTCGCGACTCATCAATTAGAACTATGTCATCGGCGAATAGCATGCACCCTGGCACATCCCCTTGAATATGGTGTGTTAACGCGTCCATCACCAGGGCGAATAAGAACGGACTGAGCGCAGAACCTTGATGTAATCCCATTACAACCGAAAAATACTCAGAGTCGCCTCCTACTGTCCTAACTCGAGTCTTAGCCCCATCATACATGTCCTTAATCGCCATAATGTACGGAACCGACACACCTTTTGCCTCCAGGCATCTCCAAAGAATTTCTCTAGGAACCTTGTCATACGCTTTCTCTAGGTCAATAAACATCATGTGCAGATCCTTCTTCCTCACTCTGTATAGTTCCACCAACCTTCTAACAAGGTGTATAGCTTCTGTAGTCGAACGATAATATTTGTACAACAAAAGTCAATAGATAAAATAATATTTGAGTTAGTGGCAATTTATGGTCATATATGCCTCTGTGCATGGCTTGTGGTGAAAAGTAGAAAACGAATTAAAAGAAAAAGTAATATTTGATGGTATTTAAACTCTGAAAAGTTATAATACTAAATATTTGTTTAATTTCTTGGTAATTAGTAAGGGAAAAGGAAGATCTCCACTCATTTCATTTATTCAGTTCTTGCTATGAGTTGCGGCGCACAACAAACGAAGGGAGAAAACTTAGTTTGCTTGTTGTAACCCTATTTTAGTAGATTAAGCTTGGTAAGCTTGAGCTATATTTAAGTATGCTACAACCGCTTTACTATGGATGGTCTAGTTACCGAAGATCTAAAGCAAAGGAAGAGATAGTTAACAAATGTGTTTGTAAACTAATAAATTTTAAAAAATATATAATCTTTGTGTGTGTTTCTTGAGAGATAATTGAATATTCTCAAGTTCGAGGGACTATTATTTGATGACATCCAATAAACCTAATGTTAAAAGAACATCTATTTACCTGATTAAAATCATCCAAGATGTGCTTCTAACTAGTTTTGCTTCTTTCTTTCTATTGACTTAATTCGACGAAAATGCTTAAACTTATCGATTTTGATAAAACACATTTTCTAGCTTCTTTAAGTTGATACTGGAAAACAAGTATAAAAAAAGGTGGAAAAGGGCCAGCAAATGCAGTCTGAGAGAGAAGGAACTGCCCAACAGAATTTCCTATGACATCTGGACTTCTCATGCTTGGGAACATCTCATGTACTGACTGCTTTCTGGTACTTTAAATTCCTCTTGTTATACACCAATAACAATAATACCACAACAACAACAAACCCAGTGAATTCCCACAAGTGGGGTCTGGGGAGGGTAGTATATAGCGCAGATCTTACCCCTCAAGGTAGAGATGTTGTTTCCAATAGACTCCCGGCTACTAAAATAATATATACAATACAATGAAAGGGAACTGTAGGGATTTAGAGTATTCTTTTCCTTTACTCGGTCTTTGGGAGGAGGGGAGTTGAGGATATGAAAATAAAATATACATCACATATAAGAGGAGAGGATAGATAATATGACCATTCATCACTAGTTAGTAGCCAATACTTTCTGATTATACAAAGAAGGAAAGTTATATATACTAAAGGTCAAAACACGTTTGTTAATGTTAGTGAGAAGTTCAATCTAGATGCTGCATACGTAACAAGAGCTAACCTAAGATGAACAGACAGCTTAATATAGCAGGTCTTGATGTCAAGAACTACAACTCAGTATAGGACTTTAAGATAAACAACACTGGTATGTTTACAAGGGCATGACAAATCCTTTGCTTTCACCAACAATTCTCGCTAAGCTGTTAATCTGTCAATATGAAATTCAAAAGAAAGGCGAAAGTCAGTGAAAGTTCTCAACGGTATGGTCAAGCTGTTTAAGAAGTTATAGTGAAGAAATCTACCTGTAATAAGTACATGAAATCCTTCAGTCGGATGATCAGATGGCATGTTGATGTACTGACTCTCTTTCTAAGGCATCAAAGTCTTTGTCGAGCTGCCAGAACGGAGGAATCACTGGCCGAGGAAGAAACTTGATAAGAGAGGGAACAGGGAGGAGCTCCATAGTCATGGTTTCTATGATCTTCATCCTACATGGATTAAGAATTAGGCCATGCAAAATAGCTTTAAAAAGAATCAATTTTTACAGCAACATAGGACCACTATACAGCAACCAATAAACCAATCACCTCCAGTTCTGTGAGCAGAGTATTGTCATAGGATGCCGTATAGAGATTCCTCATGATCCCCTGCAGAGTGATACAATAACAAGTAAGGTGCAATAGGTTGCAATTATTTTCTTCCTAACAAGAAATTGCTCCAAAGGATGCTAGAGGAGCCATGTATCATAAGAAAGGCTGGCAAAAGTCAAAACATATAGAACAAGGATTAGATTTGGTTTAATACACTTTCAGACTGAGTAATGGGAAGACAAGTCACGATCTAGTTCCTAGTCCTACCAGATATGGACAGCATTCTTTCCATATAAACCAAATCCCAGTAATTTAACAGGAAGTCTGGCAGTTAAGATGCATATAACTGACTATTATCAAGGGAAAAGAACATTACACTTAGTGAGGCCAACCTTATTTGCCCAAGTGAGGCCACATGCATTGCAAAGAGTCCTTGGGCCAGCAGGACCACGCCTCATCATAGGTGTATCCTTTGAACTAGTTCCGCAATGGACACACCTAAGAAATGAGAGAGAGAGAGAGAGAGAAAGAGAGAGTTAACATTTCCAAAACACTATTGCTTTGGGTAAACAATTAAACATCAAAATTAAGAGAAGAATAGTGCTAGTAAGGTTATAGTTAAAAGACTAAGTAGAAGCCAGAACATCTCTTAAGAGCAGAGACTTATAGCTTGCAAAATAACTCACCCAATATCAACCAACTATTTCTTGCATACAAAGTAGTTAAACACTAACCAAACCATACACATCAACTAATTTTTTAGAGGAGACTATTCTTCAAGAAAAAAGCAGGACTCTTGCTCATACTCCAA